AAAGGGGGGATTCGGCATGCCTGCTTCTAACCGCTGGAAATTCATGCTCTTGAAAAAGGCGTGCCTCTTCACTTCTGTTGCACCTTCCCCTTGACATCCTAGCCGCTGCTTCACGTCTTTGGTGAGGAGCTGAAACATGCCAAGAGGAATGGTAAGGACGTCAGAAAAGCAAGAGCTCCGCAAAGATATTTTTATCTCCAGTTGGTTTTGAATGTGCCCAGAGGGAAGTACAGAGGGGAATTGTAATTGCTGTTACTTAATGACCAAAGTTAAATGGATTAGGACTGCACTGTTCTACATGCTGGTGAAACCCTTTGAAAATTACTGGCTGTAAAGTGTTTACAGTCAAAACAGAGACTGTTGCTTCTGCTTACTTTCAGTGAACACTTTCTAGAAGAAGCCTGACATACCCTAATAACACATACAGATGCATATTCATAAGTCCCATGTGCTTTTTCTCAGTTCTTTTTTTTTCTTGTTACTCTTGTAAGAATAATTTTCACGTGTTGCTTAGGCCGAATGACTTCACTATCAAATTGTACTTCCCTCCACCCATTGCAGTATATTCCAGTACATCACATGACACATGGAACCAACCCTTTGTGCTGATGGGCTTATCTCTGCTGAACTCAAGGGGAGTTTTGTCCACGGAGCCAGTATCAGCAACCATCCTCAGTTCAGCCTTGTTTGTTTTCAGAGAAGGACAATGCACCACCTCCACCTGCTACAGCAAGTCCTGCCTGTTTCCTGGGAACCTGTAATGGACACTAACTGAACTCAGCATCCTTGGTCTGTTAGACAAGCAGGCCCATGAACACAAACACAGGGGTTGTAGGTCCTGGAAGACCTTGTATGGATGGACTCATTGATCTGCAAGAGACCAGTTCAATGGAAGAACAATTCTGGCACAGACTAGTTGGTGGATGAGGAGACAGAACATGTAGCCAAATCTTCACCAAAACGCCTCTTCTTCTAAATCATACGTGTAGAATCAAGTAGGCTAAATCAATGTCTTAAGAGATCACATCTAAACAGTTGAAGAGAGGCAGAGCTCAGCATGCAAATGACTGACGCAAAAAGACCATCACTTGGGAGAGGGACCTTTCTAAATGTACCACTGACTTCAGGCAACCTGCTGAAAACTGAAGGTTCACAAATTTCTGTCCTTTTTTTTTCCTTCCATTCATCTTTGAGGAAGCCTGCATGATGCTCTCTTAGACGGAGGAGGGAAAATATAACTCCAAACTCACCATAATCTGCCCAGATATTTCAACTGCCTATTAAAGAGATGGGTAACATGTGCCTTACAACAGAAAACAAAAACATGCATTGAAATGCATTCTTCACTATGAGGGTGGTTCATCACTATGAGGGTGGTGAGGCTGAACAAATTGCCCAGAGAACTGGTGGATGCCCCAATCCTGGAAGTTCGAGGCCAGGTTAGATAGAGCTTTAAGCAACCCGATCTAGTGGAAGAGTGGTCCCTGCCCATGGGAGGGGGGTTGGAACCAGATGATCTTTAAAGGTACCTTCCAAACCAAACCATTCTATGATTCTAAGAAAATGGTCGAGGTTAGCTTTGCTGGACTCTCCACTCTGGGGGAAAAGACTACATACTTACACTGTAACATCATGGAAGGAATAAGAACACCAGCCCTTTTCTACAGGAAGGGTATGCCTCCTGGAGCCGAGCATGCAGCCAGGCAGACACCCCACCGCTCAGCACTTTTCGTACCCTGATTTCTAAACGGCTGCTTGAAGGAAAGGGCTGAGCCAGCCCGCACTGACACCAAGGCTACCCCCACCGCCGGCTGGGGAAGGGAAGGGAGAGGGGCCGGAGGGCGATGCCCGGCCCCTGGGCAGCGCGGGGCGGCGGCCGGGCCCGGCCGGGGGCGGCGAGGCGTTCCGGCCCCCCGGGGAAGGACCCCGAGGAGGAAGTGGCCTTGGAGCTATGTCGGGGACTCTGCCCTGGGGCAGGAGGGGACTGGTGCCTGGGTGCCCGGGGGAGGGAAAGGTTCGCGGCTCACCTCCTCCGTCTCCAGCTTTGCCGCTCCAAAGCGAGAGCTGAAAAAGCAGCAACCTCCCCTTGCCCCCTCCCCAGGTGGGCTGTGCAGACCAATCGCAGTGAAATGATGAGCAAACTCCCTGGGACTGCCTGCCTGCGGGGGCCTCAGTGCCCATGCAGGACAGTGGGGTGGTTTGGGTTCTCTGAGCATCTGAGTCCGTGAAGGGACTGAGCCCTTGGGAGCCCCCCTGGATAAGTCCCCGGGGATCTTACCAGCTGTGTCTGGCAGCCAGGGCAGGCAGCAAACTGAGCTGTACCTTGCAGCGCCTGGCTGGGGCTCACTTAGGAGAGCAGGAGGCAAATGGCTTTGGGGAGGGTCGGAGAGGAAGAGAAGCCTTGCAGGTGATCAGGCAGACAATGAGGTGCAGCCCTGCAGGAGGCTGGGAACGGGGAGCCAGGCAGCTTCCCCACTAAGGCAAGGTTGTCTCGAGATGCTGCTTGTAGGCTTTCCAGGTTTTCCAGCCCCAGTACCCGCTGGTTGTGTTGCTGTCTCAGCCACATCATCTCAATGAGGAACCTTGAAAGAACTCTTTGTTGTTAATGGTAATCTTTCCTCTGCTGTCTGGCTAGAGCTGGGTTTTCTTGTCTTTATCATGGCTTTACAGGGTCACAGCTCTTTAGGCTTCCCTGAATGCTCTGCTACCCCCTGGGCATCAGTGGTTTTCTTATCTGACTTCCACAGCCTTCTCAGTTCTGCATTTTTTTGCTAGGGCCTTCATTTCCAGCCTGAGACAGCAAATGGCTTCGGCAATCAGTGTGCCCATGTGTGCAGAGACCATCCTCCAGCCCGTCCTGAGCAAGCTACAATGGCAGAGGCCGAGCAGCCAGAAGAGGTGGTGAAGGGGCTTGTGGGACATAAAAGAAGAGTCTTCTGCTCAGCTCTTTATGCCTCAGCAGCAGCAGCAGCAGCAGCAGCAGCAATAGCCAGAGCAGACTGTATGGATTGAGGGATGGGGAAAAAGCTAATGGTTCTGGCCACAACAGCAACTTCCAGCTTCCAGATAGCAATGTCCCTTTCTTCCTCACTGTTTCCTCTGCCTCTGCTGCTGTCTATGTGGTGACATCTGGTCTGACTGGTCACCATGACTGGCTGGTTCATAGAGACGGAGAAAGACTTGAAGAAACATCTCTATGCCTTGCCATCCTCTGAGCACTTAGATTCATGTGACCCAGCTCATAGAAAAAGATCTTTTTCAGGGCACTTCTCTGGAGCTTGCTTTCCCTTGGGACAAGGAAGAAGGGATGTTTTGCTTTCAAATCTTTTCATGAGACTTTCAGCTCTCAGGGTCTTGAGGTAAGGTTTTTTGTTGTGTTTTCTTTTTTTTTTGGGGGGGAGGGGTGTTGTTCATTTGTTTGTATTAAACCCCAGCAGGCATATGGATTTAGCCTACATGAAGAACATTGCTTTGGAATTTCTAGTCAAGATCTGGTTTGCTCTATTGTGGCTGGGCAGAGAAGACAAAAGTTCTTTGATCTCCTGTTCTCATGTTGAGAGGACTTTCCTGACAGGTGGAAAGAAGAATCTGAAGGCAGAAGGACCACTTTTACTACCCATGGCTCTGATATACTTTTGGAAATGATCGCTTGAAGCTCTCAGGAACAGTGCTGCTGAGAAGCAAGTTGTAGTAGGAAGGGGTAGATTTGGACTTGCCTGCAGATGATAAAGGAGGCCTCTGTAGTTTTTGCTCTACAAGTCAGATGTGAAGGGAAGAAAGGGGGTGACTTTCCTGTCTGCGCAGCCAGTAATTCTCCTGCCTCTGGACTAAGTGGGAAGACCAAGCTAATCTGGGAATTTACCCTTGCCAGGCTGTAAATGTTAGAAGTTGTTTGGAGTGTGCAGTCAGATAGGGTACTTGAGGATAGAAAAAGGCTGTCTGGGGATTCCTGAGGTCCTCTGTGATAAACAAGGGAGTATTCAGTAACCTCAGATGCACGAAGGAATCCTCTGGAGCATGAATGCAGTTGGTCATGGGTGTCTGGCCACTACAGGCTGAATGACACAAAAGGGAACAGGCCACTGGGAATAGGCTGCGACTGAAAGACCACAGAAAGGAGAGGATTCTCCTGCAAAGCCCTGCTGCAGGGGAGCAGCTGCCTGTCTCTTGAGGAGAGTCCCAAAGGAGAAAAAATATGAAATTAATGGAATTTGGTAAGCTGTAGCTGCAGCCAGCTCTAGAGATGGCAACAGATGAAACCACACACTTCTCCTGGCTTCTGTTGTGAGATAGCATGGACTAGAATATTTTCCAGAAGGGAAAGTAAGTCCTTCCTTTCTCCAAGGAATAATGAGTCTTCTACCATTTCCTGCAGCCCCGGCAGCTTTCTGCAATAGTAAACCTGTGTAATAACCTGAAATATGCATCCCATTTGGGAATCTGACCAGGGAAAGGAAACAGAGATAACAGCTGAATATTTTGAGTCATCTCTACACTTTTGTTTAATTCAGTTTCAAAAGATGCATTTAATAAGAATAGAGAGCAGAACAAAAGCAACTACATCAGGCTGATGACAAGACCTCCTGGTACAGCAGTGCAATGACCCAATCAAACATAATTTAAGTGTAATTCTACAGCCAAAGCCTATGGAGAATTCACAGAGCTTCAGATCTGAAGATGGCTTAGGCCATCCAACCATGCATGAAAAGTTGATACCAAGCAGCAGAGCTTTATGTTTGGTAACAAAGACTCCAGATGACACTTGGATGTGTGTAAATGGTGGCAGGATTTAGTCTACAGAGTTATGGGCAAAGCGTGACTAGAATAGGACTTTCAAAGAAGAGACCTGAGTAGCAGCGGTGAAGTTACATTACGATATTTTTCTTGATATAAAGAACTCTCTGATACTTTCATGTCACTCATTTGATCCCCACTGGGGATACAATCTCTGCAATGTCTTGAGACTTTTTCCATGACTTTGTTTTGTTTCCTTTACAAAAAGAAACAACTGTTGTGAGGATTGCTAAAAAAAGCCAACAGTCCCCAAAGCACTACTTTATCTTCCTGTGATCAGTCAGTTCACATCCAGATCATACCATGTAATAAATAACTCCAAGTCTTAAGATGTTAGTCCTAAAATTATAGGAGTAAGGGAAACTTTTTGTAGGGTAAGAGTGCAAAAAATTGCTGCTCATGAAAGGAGAAAAGGGAGATGGTAAAACCACTTCCATTGACCCAGCTGATCAAGTAGTTTAAGGGATCACCTAGATAAATTTCAACCCTGAAACAGAAGTAAACATACTATTTTTAACAATTTTTAAAGAACAGAAAATTAATACTATGGTCACCTCTCAATTACTAAATGAGACAAGACAGTGGTGTGGGAACTGAAGATGCCAGCATGACATAAATGGCTGTCTGCTTATGGAATCACAGCCCAATCTGGCCAACTGAAGAGTCAAAACTCTCTCAGGCATGGGTGACAATTAAGCTTCTTGCAAAGGCTTACTACAGAAGATTCATTATTATTAGCTATTATTATTATTAGCAATAGCAATAGCAATGATAATTATTTGAAGAGCACCTTGATGTGTGTGAGGTGCCTCTCAAGATAGATGAAAGAGTAGTTATTCTCAGGCAGCACTGATAAACTTTTAGGTGTCATAATCTGTGAACGAGTTGGTTTCCAGGGGTGAAAACAGAGAGAAGGGATGAAAGCAGGCAGAAGCAGCAGCAGGATAATGACAGAGTTTCTGATGGTGAGTGAGGAAGAGAAAAAATTGCTTTTAGGGAAAAAAGAATCCATCATCTTCTAGTTGGTTGGGGAGGCACTTTGGGAAGGGAATGGAGATCAGAATCACAGAACAGCTGAGGCTGGAAGGCGCCTCTGGAGATTGTCTAGTCCAATCCCTCTGCTCAAAGCAGTCACCTAGAGCAGGTTGTTCAAGGCCGTGTCCAGTTGGGTTTTGGATATCTCCAAGTGTGGAGACTCCACAACCTCTCTGGGCAACCTGTTCCAGTATTTGACTAGCCTCACCGTGGAAAAGTGTTTCCTGATATTCAGAGGGACCCTCCTGTGTTTCAGTTTGTGACCATTGCCTCCTGTCCTGTCACTGGGCACCAAACGAAGAGTTTGGCTCCATCTTCTTTGCACCCTCCCATCAGAGATCCCTTTTGTGGAGTCAAACGGGAGCTGCAGGAATAAGAAGTGGCAGGGAAGATAGTCTGCAGGAAACACAGACAAACAGGACACTGACAGAGTGACAGAACAGCACAGCAATATGGGGCCATCCAATACTGTTGACTTGAATGCACTTCAAGTCACATCTTTGGACGCAAGACTGCACTTGTCAGGGAAAACACGCACGTTCATCAAGGAAGTACAAGTCATAACAACAACAAACAGGGAGCATTTCCTAGAAAGATTGGATTTTTTCACAGAAAAAACACACCATGAAGCAGTTATGATATATGGGAACTATGGGTTGGGGAGCTTCCCAGAAAGCCAGCTGCCCCTGTTCCTAATTATTTATTATTCATCTCTGTTTCAGTCCAAAATGAGGGCTGATTTATGGGAAGTGACTTACAAAATGAAACATGGAAATATGGGATGGATGATGATTAACGGGAGCTATGATACGTGCCTGCAAAAATGCAAAGAGCATAAACATCCAAGAGGGGAAGGTTGACATGGGGTGACACTAAAGGGTTTTCATATGAGTAAATTAATAAAGACAATATATTTCCCGATGGAGATGCTATTAGCTCATGGAGTAAGCTTTGAAGAGAAGGTTAGGAGACATGGTGGAAAACACGTTCCTGACTCCTGCCCTGAAGACTCCACTACAGGAAAGCCTTTTGTGTTGGATCTTTGTGAAGGCTCAAGTTGGATTATGTACTGCAACTTTATGCTTCATTTTGCAGGTATGATGGGTACTTAATTATCACTTTTGTGTTTCCTTGTTAAGATGCTGATACAAAGCAACAAAGTTCTGGTTTTCAATATAAAGAGCAAAAAGTATTTGAGAAAATATATTTGAATCATGGGTTTTTAAAAATATCACTTGATAAAATAGATGACTTTTGGATGGAAAACCACAAATGCCATCATGCTCAGTACCAGAAGTAAGGCTCTTCCAGCCTTAAGGCACAGTAATTTCAATGCATTAATGCTCAAAAATAACAGGGTTATCTTTGGATCCATTAAGTGTTTCCACGAACCACCTAAATAAACATGCCACGTGATTGGACAGTGAAGCAGTACTGATCAAGTTGTCAGGAATGATTTACACATAGTTCATAGTTCCCTGAGGCAAGGGAATGAACTAGATGACTTCCTGAGGTCCCTGACTCCTTGAAACCATAGACTCTATGGCTTGAATATGAAGATGACCACTACAGTATAATGACTTTCACTGTCTACTCCCTTGGAAGTGGTAGGTCATCTCCAGCACTATCCCATCAATGTGACATTTAATTGGTTTCAGCTTTAAGTTCTCATGGGCTTGGTTATTTTCAAAGTATACTTTCATTCTATTATGCCTCATGCCTGCAACTAACTACTGAACAAGCAACAAAAATATAATTTTTGCCTCATGACATTTTCATTTCATGCTAAAAACAGGACATGCACAAACTCTCTGCCACTCCAGCAGATGCTGCTCCTCACCTGGTGGGAGTTGAGATGGTACTAGAGAAGAGATAGCAGGCTGTTTGAGCACATGAAATGATCTGTAAAAGCCTGTGGCTGTCCTAGATCCTCCCACACCAACTTCACTGGGGGCTCTGAATCGCAGATTAAGGGCAGTGAATGGCCTAGAGTATCTATCAAGAGTGATGTCAGTTAATTACTACCCCTGGGATTCAGCAACGAGTTGGTGCACTGTGAGTTAATGACTTCCAGGCATGATACTTGGCAATACTACCATTATTATTTTGCAAGGAGACTTCAGTGTCTCTTCATGAAGCCAGCCAACCAGATTGTTGTTGATCTGCTGTTTGCTTGCCTGTTGCACAAGATATTGGTGAAACTCTCACTACCTATTTGTTGACCTTTCTTTCCCTTCATTCTCTCTCTACCAGTATACACAGATATGTCATTGTCTCCGAAGGAGACTTCACTCTTCAGCAAACAACATCAAGAAAAAGGCCACATCCCTTTCCAAATTACAATTCAGACTTCTAAAGATGGATGTCGAGAAGATATTGATGAATTCAGACACAGCTTTGAGATTTCTCAGAGGGTTTGAGGATTTCCATTGTCAGACATGGCTATTGTGCTACGAAAATCACTCCCAGCTGAAAGAGTGAGAAAACATTTTACAGGACAGCTCAACAGTATTAAAAAAAGCTGGATACCCCGCCACCCTGGGGGAAAAGATGCTAACAAAGTTAGTGCGATGGGGTGGGACAACATTTGAGAGTCACAATAATTTCATTGCATAATCTTTGTCCTGCTTACCCCCAGCTCTCACCAAAGACAATGGAAGCATGGGGTTTTCAGTTCCTTGCAGGAGACAATCAGAGTCTTGCATCATCAAGTCTTTTTTATTTTTTCTACAAGATTATAAAAGACAGAAATGCATTCTTGACTGCAAACTAACATTCAAAGTCTCATGAGAATAGATACCGCTCCCTTGGCCATAAAACTTTGGAGAGGACTCAAGATGACCGTGATGAATCTCATGGAGAAGCAAGCCCAAATAAACACAACTTGAATGAATAGAGAATGCAGTCATCCCATCAACAGATGAGCTTGGTTAGTCCTTGTCTCTGCAGCCCCTCTATGGTACTGTGTTACTGCTCAAACCGTGTCAGATACAGCTTGCTAACGAAGCTGCCACACTGGGCCTTCAAGCCCCTTACCATTTTACAGATGGACTTGGCCTCCTCAGAAAACTTATGGGAGTACACCTCTTCTGTCTCCAGCACTCTTCTGTCCACTTCTTCCCTCTTCACCTTCTCTTTCCTTCCACGAAATGGTGATTGCCCAGCAATCATTTCATAAATGAGACAGCCTAGCCCCCAGTAGTCAGGGCTGAGTGTGTATCTCTGGTTGTTCAACACTTCTGGAGCTGTGGAGGAGAAAGATGTGTCTTGTGGAAATGCTTGATATTTACATAAGCAAAAAAATTAAATTTCTAGAAGTTCAATTTTGGTGACTGAATTCACATGCACAGAGAATGGTGGGTAAAATATAAAAATACCTCCTGATTTCTGTTGATGGCATTACAGAAAATGCAGCATGCTACATGCCATGTTTTTTTTCTCTGCATGCTCCATGCCATGTGCATGTTGTCTTCTGATTTCTCTACCAAGTCAGACCAATTAAAAAAACAAAAAGAAGTTGAAGCTAAGTATTAAGCAGAGGTCAAATGTTAAGAGTCCTTCCAGATTTCTCCATTTAGGGAAGAAACATACATCCTGTAAACAGCAGTGACATTTCTTCAAAAGCAAATTCTGTCTTTTTGCTCAATTTATAACTTATTTTTTCCCCGCTTTAAAAACCAAATCCATTTATTTTGTGTTGCAACCATCCAGTGTGCTTTGGGCATATAGTCACTGTCTTGCAGGCTTCCCCACTTCCATACATGGGTACAAACACACACACGCATGCTCACAAGCACAGTCTTAGTGTGCGCACAAACTCACACTGAGATAACAAAATTTAGAAATGACAACTGATTTGCTTGCTTTCATTAAAGTCTCCGTATGATGTAACAGTGGCTCATATCAGCTAGTTTCTATTTAGCCAAATAAGCACAAGCAATTTTTATTCCAAGAAATATGCCCACCCGGAGAATGTATGAAAATAATTACACTGAATTTAGAAAACAGATCTAGTTAAATCAGGGAGTGTGTTTCTTACCAATGCACAAAACTCTACTCTTCCTTTGTGCAGCCTCCCCTGCTCCTAGGGGAGGACTCAAGATGACTGTGGTCAAGATGGCCATAGGTGCGGACTTAACCATTTTATCATCAACATGCAAATACATTTTAACTATTATACAAAGTAGCAATTAGAAAGAAACCTTTCTTTTATGCACATAACCCTCCTAAAATAAATCTATGCTAAACGCACTAATATCCCAGTTGTTGTCTCTTCTTTTAATTTTCTTTGCCGATTTAGGATTATAGACCAGTCTCATTAAGAGCAGCTGTGGTCCATCCTTTCGCCCACTTCTGATTTCCACTAGCATGACTCCATGGTGGGTTGCTGCAGGGAACTGGACCCAGCTGAATGTGAATCTTTTTTTATTCTTTTTCTTAAGCCTACATGGCAGAAAGATCTCAAAAACTCAAGTAATCTCAGCAAATTATCGAAAAGATAAGATACTGAAGACTTACCCATATACCCTACGGTTCCTACTCTTCCACGGATTGATTCACCCTCAGGGATTTTAACAGCTAGACCCAAATCAGATATTCTAATATGGCCTAGAAGGGAAAAAGAAACAAAACAACACAAAACAGATAAAATAATATGACCCAAATTAGTTCAAAAACACAACTGCACACAAAAACACATCGCTGCAATACTCTTGCAATTTACTGTTCAGACTTTTTAAGAAAAGACTGTTCTGAATCACTGAATTGGACCAGTTTCATTGATAAGGAAAAGAGGAATGATTAAGGGTGTTATAATGCAGGGAAAGTAATTTTATCAGTGAGGCTATGGACTAGAGTGGATTGAGTTAGGTATTTTAAAACCAACTGAAAAAAGGCAATGAGGAGCATGCTGTAGGGAACGGATCACAGAGGATGGATGGGCTGACATAATTCTGTAACTCTCTGATGGCTGAAGGAGCTACATCTGGTCTGTAAAGTCAGCATGAGATTTGATTATCGCTGCCTTCAGCAACAAACGGCTACCTGGGTTTGCATAAAATGAGAGCTGGCTCACCAAAGGATGAAAGTACTTTTGAAAATGGAGTGGGGAGCACAAATTTAGAAATCTCGACTTCCTTTGTGTTGTGTCAGCCTTGCAACAATAAGGATGGAAAAACAATGGAAAAAGGCACGACACCCCCAGCAAAGCTGCGCTCCCGAGAACAGGCCCCGCTGAGCAGCACGGCGGCTTCATTCCACCCGTGCGGTGAGCTCTAGCACTTCACCCAGCCCAAGACAGAAGTATTAGTGTATGCTGAGCCTCTTAGTCACTTGAGAGCATTATTTGTCTTTGTGCAGTATATATCCTAAAACTAACTTAATCTACTTTATTGTGAAAGCATCTCTGTAAACCTCTGAGACTTACCATAATCATCTAGCAGGATATTTTCTGGCTTCAAATCTCTGAAAATGAAAGATACCAGTTATTTGTATGAAGCTGGTTTTGATAACATAACCATATGACAGTGTGTGAGTGCATTTATTACTAGTAATAAACCAATTGAGTGTCAACTCAAACAGCAAGGAACTCATGAAACCAATACAACTTTCTACAACTCACTTCACAGATAGACTGAAACCATATGTCTTTTTCTAAACTGGAGTTACATTTTTTCACTAAGCCGAGCTTTTAGTTCCTAATCCACTCTATGATGGACTCATCCATCTAGTCCAGTAAGCCCTGTAAACCAAGCCCTATAGCCCAGTGCGTTGTTAAATCTCTGTAACATTTTCTGTTATAAAATCCTTTTTTAAAAAGAAAAATATTTTAAATTTTAAAATATTTAATTTCCATGTGAAAATGGAAATAGCAATCTGTTGGGTTCAAATTTTCTATGCCTGGCATCTGACTCAGACCAAATATGTGAATGTGTGCACATGCCCTTGTGCACATGTGTAATAATTTCAGTGAGTTTGGAAAATGAGGGGCAGAGGGGGTAACACTGTGCCCAGATTAAGATTCTTCTTACAAACTTTTGTGAAACTCTAGTGCCTGTGTGGTTTGGAGCAACGCCATGAAAATTGGCAAGGTGGTCACTCTGATGTCAAAGATGTGCCTTTTACTGCTCTTGTGAAAAAAAATTTCCCAAATCTGGCCAAGTTATAAACTTCTGAAAAAAATAATCTCAGTTTTTATATATTTAGCAGAGCCTTGGCAGGTCATTCTTCTGAAACGTTTGTCTGCACCAAACCCATTCCACCAGTTGCTGCTGCTAGATGCTGCCCAGGCCAGCCACGCTCAAGTCCCCTCGCTTGGCCAAGGCGGTTTTCCAAACGTGGGAGCTGCGCACACCTTTGCAGCCACCGCCGCCGTTCCTGGGTGCGGTGGGCTGCTGTCGAGGCGGGAGCCAGGTGGGCTCCTTCCCGTCCTCCCCGTGCCGCCAAGCAGGGACAAGGCACAGCCTGCTGCTAGTGCAGAGCAGGAAT